GCCGCCGCCCCCACCCCGAGACCCGCCGCCGCCGCCACCGCCGCGAGAGCAGCCGCCGCCCCCGCCTGCGCCGGAGCCGCAGCAGCCGCCTCCGCCGCCGTTGCCTCAGGCGCTGAGCGACCTGTTCAGCATGAGCGAGTGTGAGCAGCCCCCACTCGACCGCCGGCTACCACATGTCATCCAAATGCATGGTCGCATCGCGCGCTGGTTGGCATGCATGCGTCTGCGATCCGCTTGCCATGCACGGGGCACGCGCATGGCCGTGCGCCCGCACCTGCAAGCAGACGGCATGCTGCGTGCGCCCCCTCCCCATGCACCGTGCACCAGGGTACTACCTTGACCCTAGCGGCCAGGAGCACGGCCCCGTGGCACCCAGCAAGATCAGGAACTGGGTGCGCAAGGGCCACTTTGTTGAGTCGGTGCAGGTGCGCTCGCCCACAGGGGGCTCTAGGGCCGGGAGGGGAGGGCTCAGGGGGGAGTCCGCTGAGGGCCGTGCTCGCTGTCATGCAGGTGCGCTCCTGAGCAGCGCCAGTAACAGTTGCTGCAACTGTCGCATGTGGGTTCGCCATCCTCCATGTCTACACCGCCCCGCCTCCTTGCGTGTTGCAAGCAATGCGTCTTCACGCCGTCTCTTCTCACTTCAACCCTTTGGCCGCCCACCACATCAGCAGCACCCAACCCCACCCAATTGCATCGCGCCCCCAGGTCCGCTGCCGGACGCCCTGGATGCCTGCCGGCCTTGTGGCGGCTGTCATGGGCGAGGCGGAGGACCAGCCGCCAGCTCAGCAGGACGCCTTGCCGGCCGCCGGCCGCCGCACTAGCAGCAGCAGCAGCAGCGTGCCCGGCGCAGACCTGCTGACTATGCCAGGTGCCAGCATCGCGGCAGCGCTGCGCACGTCGAGCGTGCCGCCATCACAGGCGCCCGAGCAGCCGCCCCCGCCGCCGCCCAGGAGTGTGAGCATGAGCAGCACTGCGGCGGCGGCCGCCGCAGCAGCTGCAGCCATGGTGGCAGGCCAGGTGGCGCCGCAGCCACCGCCACCGCCGCCTCAGCGGGACACAGTGCTGCCAGCGCAGCAGCAGCCGCAGCCGCGCTCGCCCCCGGCGCTCCCGTCGCAGCAGCAGGTGCCAGCACAGGCGCAGCCGCCCCAGCCGCTGGCGCAGCAGGTCGCGGCGGCATCCGGGGGTAGTGCTGGTAGCACCCCTGCCGCCCAGGACCAGCAGCAGCAGCAGCAGCAGCAGCAGCCGCAGGACACCTTGGCTGCTGTGCTGTTTCAGAATGGCTGCGAGGCCGGGAAAGAGCCGCTGTGGCGGTTCCTGGACACGACGGGCGCGATTCAGGTGGGGGTTGAACAGTTGTTGCGGATGAGAGAGGGCGACCGGCGGTTTGAATGGTGCTATGCCTGCCTGCTGCACACTCCGGCTGTGCTACTTCGCGCCAGAGCGCAGCTCAGGGCTTGCACCCTGCCCCAGCATCAATGACCTGCAGACTGCACGCCCCTCACGCCAGCGCATGCCCCTGTGCATCGGGTGGCACCGCACCCCCTCCCCCAGGGCCCCTTCAGTTCACGCCAGATGACAGAGGGTGCAGCCACGGGGCGTTTAACAGCCGAGACGCTTGTGTGCGGCGCGGACAGGTCGCTCGACGCGGTGAGCACCCATCGTGCTCCTGTCTCTGCCTCCTTGGGTCTGAGGAACGCCCCATCTGCTTGTTCTGCTGCTGCTGCTGCTCTGCGCGCAGCCCTGTCGTGCCGCCTCTGCTGCACCTCATCAAAGCAGCAACCTCGGCTGCGCGTCTCTTGCTGAAGCGGTGCCTGCCCGGCGCCCCTCTTTGCCTCTGCAGATCCCGCCCGGCAAGCCCCTCTTCGAGAAGCTAGGGGACCTCCTGGCGGCCACAGCCCGCGGCGCCCGCTACCGGCCTGTGACCATGGCGGAGCTCCGCAGCCGCATCCCCCGCAGCGCCGGCGGCGGCTCCGGCGGCGGCGCCGCGCCCACGCCGCCGGCCCCGCAGGCGGCGGCCCCGACGGGGTTGCGGTCGGTCGGCAGCGGCGCGTCCGGCGGCGGCTCGTTCGGGCGCGGCGGGG